ATGATGATATTTTTAATAATACTCCTACCCGATTGATAGGTATGTCTCCTAATGAAGCTGTAAAACAAGCATTAAAAGGAAAAAAAATAATAGCTAGACCTTCAGTAAAGAATAGGAAACCAATTGGTTATAATGAACCTCTTTTGCCTAGCTATACTGAAGTTCGACATTTATTAGAACCTGGTGAATTAGAAGGTGGAAGAAGAAGGGCAACTGATTGCAATTGGTCTCCTGAAGTTTTTTCAATTGATTTTTATTTGATAAAAGAAAATCAGCCTATTCTCTACAAGCTTTACAAGGGTCTAGACGCTCATTTGTAAGAGAAGAACTGCAAATCGTCTTGCCAGATACAGTATTACCACCCAAATATATTCTCAAGAATTAGTCTTACCTCCTCTCTCCTCTACTTGGTATAGGATCTGTTTGAAAGCACTGCTTAAGTAATCAACTATTTCATTTCTATTATAAACTATAATTTGTGTATTTCTAAGCCAGTCAGTTTGTGAATTCTTTTTTCCCTGTTTTTCATTTTTAGGTTTATCATCTATAAGAAATTTGGTAAGAGAACATAGAGCGAACTTAAATTGTCCACGCTTATCAAATTTCTTTTCAAGTATTTTCCTAAACCGCTTTCTTTGGCTTTCTAACATTTTCCGTATATCACTTCCATTATCTGGATGAGATTTAGGAACTTTTGCACGATGTACAGCTATAGCTCTTGTTTTAACTACCATTCCTAACTCTTCTTGTTCTCTAAACTCTAAGTCTTTTTTTGGTCTTTCTTGCCTCTTCTTAATTTCTTCTAATTTTCTTTTTTTATGTTCTTCTTTTAATTCCTCTTTTGTTGGTGGTCTAGCTACTTCTGGATCATATTGTTCAAGATCATGACAGAGAGTCATATAGTCATCCAAGTTTTCTGTTTTAAGACATTTATCTAGACCAAGTTCTTTCTATCTTTTTTGTAGTCGTGTTCCCCATGTTTTAAAATGTTCACCAGGTTTTTGGGCATTTGGGCTAACCTATTTGTCTGCCTTCTCCTGGCTAATATGGGGTGTCCCCAGTTAAAAGGGCCTATTTTTACAATTTTTTGAAAATCGAGTTTTTATTAGATTCATATAAATTTTGACATGACTGATATTTTTCAATTATA